CTAATGAGTGTTTATTTGTTTTTCTAAATCATCGCAAGTAAATTGAAAATGTTATTCAAAGAAATGTTTCTCACTTTCCATAGATGTCATCCTTTATACTTTGTTTCGATTCAATTACTTTTTTCTTTTGCGTATCATTGATTTTCAAAGCAAACAACATATAGCAGACATTGCCATGTCACTTTAAGAAAATATTGGAATTTTCAGAAATTAGAAAGAAAAATTTATATAGGATCTTCATAACTATAAAGAATATTATTTTCCGCTATGAGAGTGTGTTAAAACTAAAACTTGCAAAAAAACATATAAATTATATCACAAATCAATTATCTCACTAAGAATGAGAAATACTTATTATACATATGGTGTGGAAATTATGTCAGATCTACTAGGCAACACATTGTGATCTAAAAATATTCATGCAAAGAAAATTGACCCTATTAGAACAAAATGAAGTAGTTATTAGATCAAAATAGAGACGCAGTTAATAAACACTTTGTGTAACTTGATTTAGCCATATTTAAGTGTCTTCGAGTTGTTTGAATATAAATTTTACATAAATTAGCTCGATAGAACTAATATTTTAATCGAAGATCATCTCATCTAACTGATATAAGAAAAATGAAACTTGAAAAATACAAAAGTGACAGAAGACAACTTATGAATTGGAAGACTAAGAAATTGGGAAAAGTTATATTTATTTTTCTGTTTATTAGATTGATCTCGATCTAAGCGTATGTTTTTCACTCGTACCAATTGTATCATCTATCCGATATACAGAACAGCTACAACCCAAGAAAAAACAACCGTATCATTTCTTAGATATTGATATAAAGAGCGATAATTAAAATGAAATCCAAAGTTCAGAAAAAAGTCATGGATAAAAATTGACAGATAAGCCTTGAGTATCTTTAGGAAATAAATTTTGTAACGTGAACTCTGAATTGAAGCAATGCTTCCAGCTATTATGGAGCATGTCTACTATCTATTCTATTTCCTAATATCATTTTATGTGATCGGAATCTTACGTCAACTATAATAAGTGTTGTTTGACTAGAATTTAAAACTTTCGTAGAAAGTGTGTAAAATTTTCAGAGATTTACAATCACGACCATATCTATATATATATAATAGAAATAAAACAATAATTTTAGTTATATACATCTTAATGGAAAAAACATCCATCAATGAACGGTTTTTCTTTTGCAAGTTGATTTGAAACAATTTTAACATGATGTAATATTACTATTATCTTGGGCGTTGGTGTGTTGGTCTGAATCTGAGTGTGAAAGCTAAACAATGAATCAATCACATCACATATAGCGATGAATGTTTAAAAATAAAGGAAGCCTTCAAAGTAAAAAAAAAAGCTCTACCTGTTTAAATATAATGCTAATAAAATAATATGAGAAGGACCTTCTAGGTTGTTATTATTTAGCAGATGTCAATGAACAGAACGAGATGATGGAAAACATGTTTACGACAATTGTAACTAATACTTCAACATTCTTTCAAAAAGAATGGATCTTCAGCAGATATCCAGTGTTTGACTTAAAACTCACCAAAAAATTTAGACGCTAAGCTATCTACGTATTATTGGCACAGTTTTCCAAAATTATATGGCAGTGGAACATAATAAAGCACTGAACGATATTCCCATTCACTTATATAGTTTACTATTGCGTGAGTACAACTTCGATTCATTCTGCATTAGTATTATGATGTAGCAATATTTGAAGAGGGAAATAAATACCATTATTATGGTGAAAGTTGTCCGGAAACAATCATCACAGAAGATAAGATTTAAAATTAGAGAAGATAGTTGTTGATGTTTCTATCGATTCAATTCTATCCAGGTCGATCGTTCCGGCTATCTGATACTGCAGGGACCGGCAGAAAAGTGCGGAAGAAATCACCGTATCCTGCAGGAAAACACTGAAATCGCCGGAACATGGAAGAAGTATTCCGGCCGGAAATTTTCCGATGATTTTCCGGTCGGTTCCTGCCTGAAAACACAGGAAATTGGTCGAAATTCGCCGGAAAATTTTCGGCAGGAATACTGCTTCCATGTCCCGGTGTTTTCCTGCCGGAATCGGCCCGTACTTTTCGACCTGGGTAACCGTTAACTATTTCGAACATGTAAGATGGTCCCTCAGTCAGAAAAAATCAGGCTTTTTTGACGAGATCGTTAGACGACTTTCAATAAGATGCGCTTTTCTGAGTTATTGAAATTGCATTTTTCCGAGGAAAATATTAGTTTTTATATAAGATATCTGTTTCTATATCATAGAGTTGCTTTTGATGAAGCTACCAATATAATTAGTTACCTGCTAACTCGACTTGTTGTTTTAGCGCAATAGCTTTTTGACGCCATTCCATACACTTGTCAAAGTTACCGGCTTGTGATGCGAATTTACCAAGATCCTTATATAAGTCATAACGTAAAGGGTCATCGAGTGGCAGTTGTTCCAACAAGCGTATAAAATATTTTTCAGCTAAATCAGGTTTATTCATCTCCGATAGTAGTCTTCCTAATGTTCGAAGATCCATTTTTCCACTTCCAAATTGTTGTTTCATATCCATGAGAACGTGTTTTAATTCATGTTCATTATCACTACATAAAATCATTCGGATAACCCATACTTGACTGTCGCCACTAAGATGGATGCTTTTCAAACGAAAAATAGAACCGAGCATAAAAAGTATTTCTGATTCTCTGGGAAATATACTAAACGGACTGATATCAGCGAATGGTTTTGTAGTTGCCATTGCAGGATCAGCATCGATTTCAAACAATACTGGTTCTAAATTGTCTGTAGCATGAGAAGTGTTGACGAAATAAAGAGCTTGCTGTTTGTTCATACTGGTGGAAAAAAATGAATTTACTGAAATAAACTGGTCAAGACATTGTTTCAAAGTTTTCAATTCATCACTTGACATCATCTGGCCTCGATAAACTCGTAGAGGATCTTTAGCTTGGTTGTATTTCAATTGATAATGAATATCCGAAATAATTGCGCGAAATAAAAAAAATAAATGAATATCTTGCTTACGTAGAGCAGCATTGAGAGTTTGGTAGAAGAATGACTGCCTTGTGTACCACCACAAGGCTTGGTCAGATGAATAACTATTTTCAAATTCATCAATACAGCTCAATTCAGCATTGTTCTCTTTATATTTCTGTTTACAAAGATGAATAAGCTCTTCTTTATCTGTTTTATTGGATTCTAGCCGCTGAAGGCAATCAATCAAAACTTGAGAGAAAACAAACTGACCATTTACACTCATTGTTGTTATACCCATTGATGAAGTACCCATTGCTGATGTACCTGCATTAGTACTTGTAGTAAAAATATTAATCGACAATGGTTCTTCTACGATTTTCTGCATTCTATGATCAGTTTCAATTCGAAAGATAAGCTCATTAAGTTCAACAATAACTGCTTTTACCTATAAATTAAAAAAAGATCATAAAACGAAATCAAAATCCTTCATCTTTATTTTACTTTTGCAAAGTTGCGAGTCCATTGTTCATGACTTTTTTTATCCATGCAGTACACATAAATTGATATAACTTGTCGAAGTTTATGAATAGAAGGAACTATTTCTTGTCCTGACCGACCACTGACGATCATTATGAGTCGAGCTTTTTGTGATTGTTTTTCAATGTATTCTTGACATTGTTTTACATCTTGAAATTTCATAAGACAATGAATGATAGAACGCAATCTTTGTTCTGCATTTCGATTGTCTTCAAGGGTTGTGTTGACATCGAGCCAGATAAGAGAAAAGATATCGAGATGCTGATTTTTGGTGTTCTCCTGAAGGTCATCAATTGATGGAACAGAAGTTGCCATGTAAATCAAGGAAGCTAAATACAATAGAGGTTTTAGCTGTTGTTCATTCGATTAAATAACTCAATTAGCTTTTTAGCTAAAGCCATCGAATCAATGTGTAACACACTAGGATAAATCGACATTATTTGAACCTTTTTTCGTTTAGTAATAAAACAAAATTATAAATAAGCGAAAATCATCTCTCAGTAAGTTGGATACTGTCAATTGGTAAAATGTAGAATTTTAATCTCAATCGGTATGAATCATAATCTTTGCTTTCCTCCTCCGAAAATTACTGCAACAAATCTAAGTGAATCTATCGAATCTATGTGTCTTTGTTTTTAGAGAAGGGTCGTACGTTGAAATAATGGTGTTTCTTATCTGATTGAAAGCGTTCTATTATTTAATCCTAAAAGAAATAATAAGTTCAACGTTACTATGAAAAATTGTGATCTTCGTTTCAGTTTTCAAATATACGACATAGAAATATGCATCGTAGTCTTCATTCTGTAACCATCATTAGAAATTATCGAAAGAGCTTGTAGACGAAAGTACTTAAGCTTGGTGTTCCTTTAAATCCTTCCTAATATTGAGAACATTTCACAAAACAAGATTACTCTGCACTACATCTGAACGCAAAAGTCGTTCTCTTGATCTATCACAACCAGCTGTACAAAATCTCTCTCTTTGAATACGAAGTTCGTTATTTCAGTTGTGTTGGTTTTTAATCTTAGATCTAATGTTGCTCATATTTATGTTCAAAATATGAAAGTAACAGCAAATATTTCACGTGATGTTCAATTTTCTAATGAAGATGATACACTCGGAAAAGTTACATTATTTGAAAGCAAAAATCTACGAATCAATTATTCATATTTATAAAAGTTTGTAAGTAAACCTTTTGTTGTTTTAAATAACTAAGATTCATTTCGATTAGAAAGGCAAAACACTTTTTTAAGTATAGATAACTATGGGCATTCCATTTTTCGTCCTACTGCAATTCGACTTCAAACTGACGGTGTTGGCTTTTTAATTCCACACGATACAAACGAAGATAACGAGTTCTTTATTTGCTGTAGACCTTATTGAACAAGTATATCATTTTCCTAGATTGCCACCACTCTCTCTATAGGAAATTTTGTATTCAGATGTGAAACAAATCCTTGCAAATGACATCCTTTCTGATAATCCAAAAAGCACGTGTCACAGTGGTTCTGCATGATTTCATCATTAAGAGTTTAGCAATGGTGTGTTATTTCTAAACTTCATTTTGCTCAAGGTTGTGGGTGGAAGCAAGAGGTACACCAACACTCTACACATCATTTTACGATTGACTAACTCTGAAAATAGATTTTCATACTGCTTCCAAACAAAATTGTTAACAAATACAGTAATTGATGATAAATTGTAGACATAACGAATGAAAAAACATCTGAACGATCTTTAGCAAAATTATGTCGATTGAGTTCATTTGGCCCTAATGTAATCCAATTTTCGGATGAAAGAAAAACTGGTAAGTTTTTTCAAACAGATTAATTCAAAATTTTCTCAAATAAACCTGTATTATAAGAAAAGAATCAAAAACTTTTATGCTTACTTTTGCTAAATGATGCAATTGTTTGAAATAGTTTAGATGAAAGTTTAGGTCAATTCTATATTATTATTTATAAATGATTAGCTTTTGAATGTATTAAAATGGAAAAACAATTGTGTCGTTGCTCTGCGATTGACTAAAAAAATATTATTTAGCATTATTTTATCACCTGTCATTATTAATGAAAACTTACTTAATAACTCAACTGATATTTTAAACGGTAAAATAGAATGCAATACTTGTCAAAGCATTGTATCATCTGATTCAAGTACTGCTGTTACATCTAGTAGTTATATATAATCATAAATTATATTTTTTAGCCTACATTGACAAGTTTGTCCACGATCTAGTTAAATAACATACTAGTGAGGAAACTACAAATGCATTATTGCATTCTGTTGCTATTGGAGTGTTCTGATTTTCTGTCTAGACTTTCAGAGTGAACTCAAATGTACGACATTAGTTCTCAAAAAAGCTTTTCAGATGATTTTGAGTTTGCATATTAGTTTACTGAATATGAATTTCTATATCGAGAGGTTTTCGTATATAAACATTTCAATAGATGGTTAAATTTGAATTAGTTATCGTTCCGAAACAACAAGTGCAAGTCGACGTTTGGTGTGCAAGCATCAGATACCCATTGTATTATTAATACTTTTAAATCCTTTGATCCAATGATCTCACTAGTAAATCAACAAAGTTATGAAAAGTTTTCAAAAATTACAGAAGAAAATATCGACCAAGTTTATGATCTTTATTACAGTGAACAATTTTCAAATTTTTAAGCTTTTGAAATAGTCTGCTTTATAACGAGAATAACAGCAGACAGAAATGGTCACTGAACGTTTTCCGATTAAGTCATAAAAAATATATTTTGCTCAGTAAGTTAAAGAAGACGATTTATAAGACCAAGTCGAGGTTATAGAACTTGGATATCGATATTAGAGAACGTAAGTAATCAAGAAAATTCATTTGTGTTTCACCGTCGACGGTGATTTACATTGAAGTAGTTTAACAGATAAATGGAAAGTGATAATGGATCTTAACAAGACATATATACAGGTCTAGTTAAATCCAAAATGAGTCTAAAAATGGAGGGTGTGGGTGTGGGTGTGGGGTGTGGGTGTGGGTGGGTGTGGGTGTGGGGTGTGGGTGTGGGTGTGGGTGGGTGTGGGCGTGGGTGAAATCAAAACGCATACGCACACCCACACCCTTCCGTTCAGCTACATAATGATGATG